AAAAATTCATGTATATTTTGAATGACACCGGACGGACATTATCTTAACCTCACCTGTGAGGTCATGACAACGAACCAATTTTAGTGCTTTAAAGGTCTCTGACAACGGTACTGTAAAGGAACTTAACGTGTTCCTGGCCGTGAAGAGGGAAATGAAAATATTCTGCTGATGAACAACAGAAGGGCCAAAGTGACTCAGGTGAGCGTTGAGGCCCATGGACCTGTTGTTTGTTTCTTTAGAAAGTGCGGATATAAAAACTAACAAATAGACATCTTTCCAGACCCCATCCCATCTTTCAGAGATGTGAAAAAAAAATCTTTATTATTTTTTTTTTTTATAGAATTATGCCTCACCTCACCTTACTTCACCCATCATCTTGACCGCTGGTACACAAGGCCCGATATACTGTCTCTGTTTATGACTCCTGTCTTTGCTGATGCCTAGCTATTCTATCTAAGTAAACTGACCTATTTGATTTCTTCCTTCTGGGTACCATATTAATGCAGTGGTACAAAATCCTGATGTTCTCCGTCCTTAGCCTTCGCTTTTTCTGCTCTGCGATGTAGTTCTTTGTTTAATACGAATTGTGGAAAGGGCTAAAACACGGACCGCTAAAAACACCAAAGATGGGATCAAGTGCCTAGGAGGACTAAGCATCCCCTGTAGACTGATCACACTCGCCATGAAGCTCTCTTTATTAATTATATAAACGGAGTAATCCTTAGTCAAATTGGTATAAAAATAATGGCTTCAAACTTGGTTGGAAACTTGTCCGTCAAAAACCAAAAACGACCCAATGATAAGTAGTATTTGTATACAATGTCATTATAACGACCATAAAATCTGCGAAATGCTAATTTTAAAGGTTATAACGAAATACTTAAAACCCTGAAACAACTTATTCGTCAGTAGCCTGTATCGGTTTAAGAATCAGTTGGGAGAAATACAAACAATATATACAGGTGATTAGTAAAATATGACATGAATATGGAAAAGCTGGAGTCATCCCGTTTGTCGTTTAGTTTAGCTGTTAGTTGGCCATTACAATCTATAGACAATTAAATATCCAGGTATGAAACAGATCTGGTAGAACTGTCTTTAACTTATTTTAATTTCGAATTCACTGCGATATATTGAGTTGATATAAAAAAAATGTTAATTTATAAAATATCATCGATAAAAGGATGGTCCTTCAAAATTGTGAATTGCTGTATCAAAACAAAGAAAACTGTCACGAATTTTACTAAATTTTTAGTTGTTTACTAAATAACAAGAAAATCATACAAGTTTATGACAATTCATTGGTAAAAGACGCTAACTAAATAGGTAGTATTGTTTATTTAAGTGTCACATGCCAAGTATTACAAATAGGATCATAAAATTACATTTGCATATATAAAATATTGAGAGTTTGACACCCTGTCTCAACTTTTTTTTCTATAAGCCACTTAAAATATAGTTTTGCAGAATTTTAAAATATTAATTCCTTTTTTAAGTTAAGATTTTGCTACTACAGCCTGTATGTATCAAGGTTGTTCATTCTCTTTTATAACAAATTCAAGTTTATTCGGAGTACACTCTCGGGATGAGGCCACGATGGAGGTTCATTTTCAAAATTCTATACTTTAACAATATTGGCATAACTCTAGTAAAATTTACATTTATGTAATCTTCTGGATGTAGAAGTATCAAGTTTGCTCAAATCACGCACCCTAAAGGTTTGGGTGGGTTAAGGGAAACGCCTTACGTAGCGTTACATCTGGATAAAGGATTGATTGACTGATTGTATGTTGTTTTATGTCCCATTTTAGAATTTTTCACTCATAGAGAGACGTCACTATATACCGGTGAAGGGCTTCAAATTTAGACCTTTACTCGGCACTCATGGCCATTGAGCAGTGAGGGATCTTTATCGTGCCAACGCCTGCCGTGACACGGGGTCTCGTTTTTAAAGGTCTCATCCGAAGGACCCGCAACTTTCACTCCAAAGTGCCCAGCGCTTGGCGAGGGAACAGTTGCTACCTGTTTTTTTTATCGACTTGGGTCAGTCGCGGCCGAGATTCGAACTCATGACCTTCCGATTACGGAGCGAGCGCTTCTGCATAAAGGAAGGTTACCAATTAGTCTGTGTCAGAATGTATGATGTTGTACCTTCAAATTATTTATGGCATAACTCTACTGGACAGGATAGGTCTGCAATTGCAAAATGCATTTTTCTTAAAACGAGTAATATAGTGGACTCTCGGAAACCTGAACTTTGTACATGTAATTTGTTACCTGGACATGGATATTGTCTCCTTTTGCAACTTTATTTTTAGATTTCCAAGTATTTTGTAATGAAACACTTGTGTTTGCAGTGGAAATATTCCTCTTTTTTCACGCTTTTTAATTTCTATAAATGCCTTGTGTAACTGGAATTGTTATTTTGAGAATTTGACTCCATAAGGTATAGAACGACATATTATTACATGAAATAAACACCCCTCATGCATCTTTACAAATAGGTATGATACCAACAGAACCTTTTTTTAAAAATATTTAGAATTTTAAATTCGTGACAAGACATCACGCTGCATGATGTTGTTCTACCTCATACTTATCTTTTTACGGAAGAACTAACATCTTCAGCTGATTTGAATGATAGATTTAATGGTACGTTATAGATACGTCAGACGTTTTCACTACCCCGTAATTATAGTCAGACCCGAGTTTGAGGATGTCGCAAAACATGAATAACTGTGTCAAAACATTTGCGTCAAAAGTGAAAGGGCATCTTTTTTTCTCCCGCGAGTTCTTGAAAGAAATACAATTTATTATTTCAAGAAAGGTGGCTTTTTTTAACACACACGAAAAAGCATACAGAAATGAAATAGAAATCTTTTTAATATTATAAATATGAAACAAAAAATAATGAGCATTTGGTGAAGATTATGGTTAGATATAGATTAGACCTTTCAGATTAATCATTTTAATATCTTAGATATTCTCATATTAGAAGAAAAAAAAAGATGTCAAATGGGATATTAGATACCTAAGTATTTTTTTTAATCGAGGCAGATACTTTGGTATTTTTCCCATTCAATTCGAATTAAATCAAAGTTCCTCTAAAATGCAATTTTAACAATGAGCCTGACAAAAGGAACACAGCCGTAAATTATCGAAGTACATGTAAAGTCTTCATTTGTCCATACTCTTTTAAGTTGCGATTGTATATGTTAATTTTACAGATACATGTAACATGTAAAGTTAATACCTCACAGCCATAAAAAAAATGCTGGAAATAAAAAAAAACTCGCATTTAAATGTTAATTATGTTAAATGTAATAAAACTAAAGGGTCTAATAAAATAAAAAGTCTCCGTGGGTGTAAGCACTTTATCACATACATACAACCAAAATACTTCATTATTGTGTAAATCATTTCTTTTCCTTTGTCTGCCAGTACCTGAAAAGTAATTTATCATTCTACAAATAAAACCTACAAATGTATGTAAGAAAAATATGCAGTAATATTTTATGTGCTCTGTATCTAAATTGTACCTTGAGTGTACTGGAAAGCGCCCTCCTCCTTCCAGATAAATATGTTCCCGTGTCTTCTTTCTTTTTCATTTCATTCTAAGTTATAAGCAGAGAAAGATTAAAATTTGTTACTTACTTCTAGATTTATCTATAACAATGTCAAATGTAAACCTTACCAGTAGTTGATTGTGGACATTAATAAGCAAATCTGTGTGTATTTGTTTGGCCTCGACTCTTTCCTACAAGAAAAAAAAACATTCACTATTTTTATTATTTTCTGAAAATATGTGATTTTTTTTGCATACATCTGGCTCCAGGGTCTGCAGATTTGATGTATTCTTACCAGTAGTTGTTTATGAGCCGCAATGATGAGTTTTTAGTCTCACATCTCATTTCAAGTTTCTTCTGAAAGGGAAAAAAAGCAACATGACTTTAATTCAGATAGATTATAAACTTATATTTTGATTTTTCTTTTCTAAAATACATGTATTTGTAGAATATCTGTCTGAGTGATATTTCTTACCAAACGTATTTTTATGTTTGTCTTTCAGAATTTTCTGGTGGTCTCTTTTTGTTGCTGGTTTCTGATTAACATTCATGGATTTCTTTAATTGAACAAATATCTGAGCTCAGAATATCTGTCTAAGTGATATTTCTTACCAAACGTATTTTTATGTTCTATTTCTAAACCCATAAAAGTCAGTGTTGTGCATGGCAATACTGTTTTTTCAGACTTAATCGGTAAATTGATGTCATGTGCTAGAGTGTGGAATGCCAGAAGTGCGTCATGACATCCTGGTGAATTTGGATAACCGATAAACAGAAAGTCATCGAGGATGTGCACACAGTGTACAACATCAAATTTATCATGGAGAATCCATTGTAGGGCTGAACTGAATTTCTCGAAAAGGTTGCAAGAGTAACTAAGGCCGAAGGGGAGAGTTTTGTCAAAGTAAAATTGACCATTAATGCTAAAACCTAATAGTTCAAAGTCACTAGGGTGGACAGGTACTTGTTTGTAAGCGTTTTCTAAGTCGGTTTTTGCTAAGAGTGCCCCCACCCCAATATCCTTGATGATTGAAACAGCATTATCTATGGTTTGATACTGCACAGTGCAGAATTCATGAGGAATGTGGTCATTGATTGATGACCCTTCAGGGTAAGACAAGTGATGAATAAGTCTGAATTCACCCGGGTTCTTTTTGGGAACTAGGCCGAGAGGTGAAACTTGAAGATTAGGAAATGGTGGGGAGAGAAATGGACCTGCCACCCTTCCTAACTCTATCTCGTTATTTATCTTTTGCCACAATACACCTTCATTTCCCTTCAAAGAAGATAAATTTTTAGAAACGCGGAACTGGCGATGGCCTTGGTAAGGAATTCTAAAACCTGATTTAAAACCTTCGACTAAAAAAATTGAAAGATCAGGGTCATAGCCTTGAAGATATTCAGCTAATTTGTCAGCATTTATCGGCGTAACAACAGAGTCTTCAGTCTTTTTTGGTGATGGTTGACGGTTTCTTGCGCAGGTCATTATTTGAGAATTTTGTATTTGCTGTATTGCTTTGACCTTGTTTATACATGTATCTTGTGCACTGAAGTCTTGAGTGTTTGTTAGAGCAGTATTGGCATATGTGTGCATATGGACAAGAGTTGCCTTTGTTACAGGAGCCTGTATTATTGAATGTGAAGCAGTACTTTTGCTTCGAGGGAGTTGCACGAAAGGGCTGCTTCTTTAGTTTTGCTTTTGCCTCAAAGCCCTGAACAATTGCATCATGAAAAAGTTCCGAGTTTTTCCTATCCCAAGGACAGGCTCGGGGAGCAACCTGTCGCCATTGTCTAAATTTCTCATCGTAGCTTATGGCTGCTTCGTCTCCACAGGACTTTGATATGCCCTGAATAATTTGTGCATACGTCATAAGCTGCCCAACTTCCTCTGGGTATTTTGAACAATGGAGTGCCACAAAGACGTGGAAGGCCTCCATCCACTGAGCAATGGTTTTAATTTGGCAGGTGTCATTAGATTTAATGAAAACCAATTGTCCGTCTTTCTCGACTGATTTGAATTTGGGCTCCTGCTCGAAGTTTGACTTGGGGATTAATGTGGCCAGTTTGATATATTCATTTGCGAATATTTTAGCTTTAATTTTCATGTCCACCCCCAGTCCCACAGGTTTTGAGATCCCCACCTGGGAAATGCTCTCTTGCAGATCATTTTGAGTGGTTTGGGAATTACTACCTGTGTTTGTGTCCAGATCAACAATTGTATTAAACGTTGATGTTCTGGGATTGATGTCAGTTCTCTCTTCCTGCTGTGCAGTTGCTGATTGTTGATTGGCTGCTGGTTGTTGGGTCTTCAGTCTGGTCAAGCATTCTTTGACTGTATTTTCTATGATGGGTAATGCTGCAGCCATACATTCTGTTACCAGGTTTTTCAGCTCAGATGATTCACCCTCTGGCTGAGTAGATGGGCCAACTGTTGATGAAGGTTTGGTCCTACGTCTTTTTGGACGAGAAGCCATGATCCTGAAACCATGACGTTGCAAATGGAATAAAAATAAACAAATGATATATGAACCATAACCTACTCGAAGTGAAATTGTACAAATTCATTAGACACAAGCACCATAAGCATGTACCACAACCATAGTTGTTTAAGGGCACATAGTTATTATGGAATTCCTGCGATATTCATGAGTCTAATAAAGTGTACAAGAATTTCCTTTACACATTATTTGTATGAAAATAACTGCCCTTATATATATTCAGCTTTAATGGCAGTAAGACTTCTAGTAGCCATAGCTACGGTTTGAATCAATATAACATAGCCATTGCTGTAATAAGTAGCCAGAGCTACCAAAAGTCACCCTCAAAAGTAGCCAGAGCTAAATTAAATAATAAATTGACTTAGAACAATAAGCATTATTAAACCTATTTGTCAGGTCAGTGCTAAATATTAATCTTCACTTGCCTTAAATAATTATTAATAGCCAGTGCTAAGGTAGTCATATACTACAAAAGGGTGACCCAGTTGCAGACCCAAGTGTGCTGCAAACATCATATAGCCAGAGCTAATATAAAATTCCTTAACTGGAAGTGCGACAACCCGCAAAAACAAAGAGAAGTGATTCACCCAGGAATATATATACATTCATATGATTGATCCAATAAAATTAATTCCCTGGGTGACCCACTTCTGCCAAAAACATATCCTGTGGTTTGTGATAAAGGAAAATATATATATACCTGAATGTAGATGGTTAATCGCTGTAATCGAATGTATGATATTATAGAGATGCAGGTAAAATGGCTGCTGAAAATAGGAAAACATACAAAATTTTAATGAAAGGGACAAACATCATTAATCTTATTTGTCAACTGAATAAATGCTTAATATAGTAGTTTTTTGTTTGTTTTTTTTTTTGAACAATAAATTGATAAAATAAAAATAAGAAACAATAATAAAAATTATTGAAGACAAATAATGGATTGAGAGCCTATCTACATATATGTTTATAGCTTAGTCAGAAGCACCTGTCATCATGACTAGCAAAGATTATTCATAATGTCTGTTGCAGTGACAGCAAAATTCCTCTAAGTTGTCTAAAATATTTCCTCATTCCCGAGGAATTAAGGTGTACGCCATCTGAGAAAATATTGTCTCTGGTGTTTGTAAACCCCTTCATCCTCCAATAAGTAATTCCGACTTGTTGACATTGGTTTTTGAGGATTGAATTAGCACGCACCACTCGGGCGTTGTATTCCTGTGGGTCAATGTGCCTTGTCCTCTCTCGAGGCATGAATCTCATCACCGTTATTTTGTTAATGCTGAATTGTCTGCGAAGCTGGGTTAAAAACGCCAACAGTCCGTGAATTAACAGATCTACTGTATCCTCTCTGCAATCTAGGTCATTACCACCTAGGTGGACAATAAGACATCTAGGTCGGTAGTGTTGGGCGGCTGCCAATAACGTCTGCAGATGGCGCGGGTTCTTCACCGCACCCCCGCTGATACCAAAGAAATCGACTTGTGGAAGGTTTACAATGTCAAATAACTCTGAAGAAGCTTTCTTGTTGCCAATATATGCACTGAAACGCTTAACATGAGAATCGCCTACGCATAAAATAGTCATTGTCTGATTTCTAAATATAATATACCACGTGACCTATGAAATGTTTATAAACAAAGAAGAATTTGTCCACCAATTCCGATGTTTACTCCATTTAAAATGTCTTAATTAAATTAGTCTTAGGTTTGATGTGACTCGCCTTTTATGAAAATCCCTTCCTTTGCATGGTAGATGTTCCCAAATAAGTATGAACATGCACAGATCGAATAGGCATATAGCTGGGGCCCAAGGCAGTATCGTCGCAGATTTGCACTAAATAATAAAAGGTCAAATAACAGCAAACGAGAAGGTTGAATTACCTAAGATGCGTTCCGACTAATATCCGGGAGTGATATGATATTGGACGTATGACCTCAGGTGTTATGCATCTATCAAAACATCGAAATAATACTAAAAACTTCCACACATATTTGTAAACATTGAATGAAAAATGGCGAGTGACGCTATCAAGTTGCGCATGCGCAAGTACCGAAATCAGTATGTTATATTTATAGACAATGGCGGTAATTATGAACACAGTATCCATAAATGTTTTATGTTCATAAATATATATTTTATGTTTGTCTTTCAGAATTTTCTGGTGGTCTCTTTTTGTTGCTGGTTTCTGATTAGCATTGATGGATTTCTTTAATTGAACAAATGTGACTTAATTTGACTAAGAATAATAGTTTGTTTTTTTAGCTCACCTGAGCCGAAGGCTCACGTGAGCTTTTCTGATCGAAATTTTTCCCTTGTCTGTCGTCGTCGTTGGCGTCGTCGTCGTTGTCGTAAACTTTTCACATTTTGATCTTCTTCTCCAGAACTACTGGGCCAATTTCAATCAAACTTGGCACAAAGTATCCTTGGGTGAAGGGGCACACCCTCCTTCAAGGGGAGATAATTACGAAATAGCAAAAAATTAATGGCATTATTGAAAAATCTTCTCAAGAACCAATGGGCCAGGAAAGATGAAACTCATGAGGAAGCATCCTCAGGTAGTGTAGATCCAACTTTGTTCAAATCATGACCCCCGAGGGCAGGGTGGGGCAACAATGGAGGATCAAATTTTTACATAGGAATATATAGGAAAAATCTTCTTCTCAAAAACAGCAAAGCTTTGATTGGTCATATTTATACGGAAGCATCCTCGGGTGGTGTAGATTCAAGTTTGTTCAAATCATGACCCCCAGGGGTAGGGTGGGGCCACAATAGACGATTAAAATTTAACATAGGAGTATATAGGAAAAATCTTCAAAAATCTTATTCTCAAGAACAGCAAAGTCATGATTGGTCAAATTTATATGGAAGCATCTGCAGGTGGTGTTGATTCAAATTTGTTCAAATCATGACCCCCGGGGGTAGGGTGGGGCCACAATGAACGATCAAAATTTTCATAGAGTATATAGGAAAAATCTTCAAAAATCTTCTTCTCAAGAACAGCAAAGCTATGATTGGTTATATTTATTTGGTAGCATCCTAAGGTGGTGCAGATTCAAGTTTGTTCAAATCATGACCCCTGGGGGTAGGGTGGGGCCACAATGGAGGATCAAAGTTTTACATAGAAATATATAGGAAAAATCTCCTCCTCAAGAACAGCAAAGCTATGATTGGTCATATTTATATAGAAGCATCCTCAGGTGGTGTAGCATCTTCGCTAGCCAAGGGTTTCTGATACGCTACTCTCCTCATTAACCCTTGGCATACGGTGCTGACAAAAGACGGGATTGTTTTCGTCACGTGATCACGATTATCAAAAGGAACGCACAGATTGCGTCATCGACAGAAATAAAAAGTGTATTTAAAAAAATGTTTTTAAAGAATAATTAAGAAGTAGGTATTGAGTTATGTTAATTTGTTATTTAAACGTGTTAAATGCAAATCTACATCTTCAGTATTTATTCTTAATCACATATTTTGCACGTAGTTTAAGATATTGGATGACACCATATAGCTATTCATAGAATGGCATGTTATCTTACGAATCGTTGTTTACTTGCCGTTTTTTATTCCCGATAGTAAAGAGTCAAGATATATCCCGAATGCAAATATCGTCATTTACAAAAAAAACAATTGCTGATTGGTCGAACGATGTCGATCAACTCCAATCACAACTTGAGAAAAAAATCCCAACTTTTTTTAACACCGTATGCCAAGGGCTTATGAGGAGAGTAGCGTATCAGAAACCCTTGGCTAGCGAAGATGGTGGTGTAGATTCAAGTTTGTTCAAATCGTGACCCCCCAGTGGTAGGGTGGGGCCAAAATGGACGATCAAAGTTTAACATAGGTGTAGTTAGGAAAAGGTCTTCAAAAATCTTCTTCTCAAGAACAGCAAAGCTATGATTGGTCATATTTATGTGGAAGCATCCTCAGGTGATGTAGATTCAAGTTTGTTCAAATTATGACCCCTGGGGGTAGGGTGGGGCCACAATGAGCGATCAAAGTTTTACATAGGAATATATAGGAAAAATCTTTAAAAATCTTCTGAAGAACAGCAAAGCCACTGTTTGTCATATTTATATGGAAGCATCCTCAGATAGTGTAGATTCAAGTTTATTCAAATCATGACCTCCAGGGGTAGGGTGGGGCCACAATGAAAGTTTAAACTTGTAGAGAAAACAGTCACAGTTAGTCAAAAAATTATGTAAGCATCCTAAGTTAGTGTAGATTTAATTATGTTCAAATCATACCCCTCACTCCCTTTTAGGGGTAGGTTGGGACCACTTATGCATGCATTTAAGCTTTTCAATACTAAACTGATTTTTCCTTTATTCCTCGCCACAGTGCTCAGGTGAGAGATGTGGCCCCTGGGCCTCTTGTTAAAGGATCTGTTTATAACGTCCTTGACACAATTAACAAATCCATATTATTCTAGATGCCTACCATCAATTCCTTGTGGACTAGATTTAATCTCAAGAAATGATTTTTCTTGTCTTCGATTTATCTCTACAGTAAACGACAGCAACAAACTGTTAATTAGCGAAAGTTACGCGTAAATGCGAAAGTTTCGCGTTTATTCGCGAATGCTACGCGTTATAACGCAAATGAGCTCAATGGGTTTTCTTTAGATTTTAACGGCAATTCATAATTTGAAGAATTTAGAATCTACACTTCAACATGAGTTTCACTTTTCTGGCCCAGTGATTTTTGGGAAGAAAAATTTTGAAAATGTTTCCTATATATTTCAGTGTAAAACTTTCATCGCCTCTTATGGCCCCACCCTAACCCCAGGCAACAATTTATCAATTTTGTATGCAATTAGTAATGAACATTACTTAAATATAACAAAAAGTAGAATTTGTGGGAAATATATTGATTTTTTATCTGTTGTTATGTATGCACATGGCTCGGCTTATCCCCCCAGTTTCTTTGATCCTGATTTTAAGCCTACTCTAACACGGGGTCCATATTAAAAAAAGATTAAATTCACCTTCAGGTCCAACAAATCATATGTTGCCCTCATACCCAGTCAATAACTGTATAATATCAAAATAAATTTCACTTTGACCTTTAGCTTTCATACTTGATACAGAGATGTGGAGCGGACAGTGACAGTGGTCCATTTAGTAACAATGTTTTGAACACAATTTCATATCCTTACAGTTACCATAAGACCTATCCATCTTTATCTACATAAAAAGACTTTAAAATTATTCCAAAAGGGTACTCTTCTCACATATTTTCGTCTAATTTGCAGAAAAAGAGGAGAATGTAGATTACATCAAGATACAGTCTAACAATGCTGATTTCATAATTATTAATTAATTATTCTTGTACTTTTCTACGAAAGCCCATTGAACTCATAATTATAACGCGTAACTTTCGCGAATAAACGCCAAACTTTCGCGTTATAACGCGAAATTAGTAGTCATGTTACCTAGGAACTTGTGAGCTTGACTGACAGATAAGAAACATGAACGCAGACGGGGACTCTATGAATTTATAAATGTCATTCCTTCAGAAGATGTAAAAGAGAATTGATGCAAGAAATGGATAGAATAGTCTTGAGAAATTTGCATTTAATCTTAAAACCCTTCTTATTAATAAAATGAAATTATTCCTTTAAAGATTTTCTTGTTTTGTTGAATCCAAGAAATTCTTTAGACTGATTTTTTTTTTCCAGAAAGATCTCCACTTGTCATTTTCTTTTCAAGGCTTTTTTTATCATTTAAGTTCCCTACAACTTTACCACTAGTAAAGAAATCCAACATTTTGGACTGTAAATTATACACTGTAGAAATCTGGCTTAAAAGGGAACACTGTATCATTTCATGAGCTTAACGTGCCATATGATGATTTTTAAAGAATAATTATAATAGGATACTGTTAATCACAAACTTATCAGGGAGAGGGTTCTACTTTTCTTCATCTTCCTCCATAATTTATATATACGAGGGATTAGGCCATCATTAAAAATATCTCTGTTTCCCCTAACCCGACCCAAAAATCTCAAGTTGGGTCGGTAGGTACTATTAAAAAGTTCGTGGACTAGCGATATAAATTAAAACTCCTTAAGGTATACAGCAAGTACACATTTATTTAACATCATTTTTTCCGTCTCAAGAAAGAAATATATATATATATATATATATATATATATATATATATATATATATATATATATATATATATATATTGATACGAATATTTGTCATCCAATTTTCACATATTAGGTTACTCATGTGATGTGACACAATTGTTCCGTAAAAAATACAAATTTATTTCATTTTTGTCAATTTTCTGAGATCTTAATTTTATTTGAAATTCTAAAGAGAGTGTTAAAAATGACGCCGGAAAGGGGGGATCATTTTCCCGAAATTCATAATTACAGTTTCACTTTGGAAAAACTCGCATAGACTTTGAAAATGTTTGAACAGCGTTGAGAAAGAAAAAATGTGACGGAAAAAAAAATTAAGAAAAGGGAAAGACACATTTAATGGTGAGAAAATATAAAATTTCAGCTTGTGATAATCCAAGTTCAAAATAGTCTTTCATTTTTCATTGTAATGAATAAACTAGATCATTAAATTTAAAGAAAATGGAGACTTATGTAAATGTCTCTGTCTTACAGGGAAAGTTACGCATTACAACGTGAAAGTTACATGTTTATTCGCGAAAGTTTCGATATATAACGCGAAAGTTTCGCTTGATAACGCTAAAGTTTCGCCTGATAACGCGAAAGTTTCGCGTTATAACGCGAAATTTTTTTTTAATCTACGAAAATGAGCTCAATGGGCTTTTACCGTAATTTTCAACATTTTTAAACACTGAGAAAAAATATTTTCATTATTTTTCCTTGGTTCATGAAACTTTGTAATGACATCTTTTTAAAACGTGTCTGCAATAAATAATAAGAACTTGATACCCAAATACTTGTACAAAAATTTATTTAAAAAAAAAAAAACACATATACACACAAATGAACTATCTATTTTGTTGTTTTGACATGACTAATTCCCTAAGGTTGTCTTCACTTTCTTTAATGCTCTTCTCTAAGTAAGATTTGGAAGTCTATAAAAGAAAGGAAAATTATAGAACATTGAATTCAAAAGCAATGTTAACTGTATGACCAAATATATAATATGAAACACAATTTCTGATTGTAAGGTGAATCTACTTTAAAATACAATCTCAATGATCAACAGCATTAAAGGACTTATCGCATGATCTTTCAAAAATCGTAATTTTATGAAAAATATTATCTACAACCTTGTTTATTTAAATACTGAACAGAATAAACGTTGTTGAAAGCATATTTTAAGAGATATTAGGAGTTGAAATTCAAATATGGCAATATGCATATTTCAGTCGGATTTCGGCGAAATACTGCTCTGACGTCGTAGGCGACAATTCAGTGATAGAGAGATGAGAATATGCACACTAATTACAGAGTTATCAACAACAAATGCAGCTTAATTACGAAAAATGCTGAAAAAATTAATGCCTAACGTGCTTCTCAATTACTATAGAAACATTAACTAGTTCTATGGTATAAGGCTTCTGAGAGATTTTCGTTTTTTATTCCAAACATTTAGAAACTGTAGCTTTGATTACGGCAATGTTTCGTGATCGGGAAATTATTTTTCAAGATCGCCATCCTTTAAAAAAAACATATGAAGACTTGCATAAATTAATATTATGTTAAAAATAAAGAACAGCAAAGTTATATAGTGTTAAATTTGTGAATTAAGTAAGTAAATACGTGTGATAAGATGACAAATCAAATCGTATTCTGATGGCGAGTTTCTTCGTCTTCGCCGCGTCTCCCTCGCTATCGTCGATGCTATTTAAATACAATGTAAACAGATTTTTCTTGCTGCAATTCTAACATATAAGGTTGGATATTCAATTTCATATCGATAAAATAAGCGATTTGGTCATCCACAACGCAGAAAATTCAGGTTGTATCGCGTATGTGACTGAATTCTATAATTCTCTATACATGTATTAGAGATATAGAACAATTACACATTCATTTTATTGTGATAAAATCAGACTTTGCTCTAGATTTACTACTGCTGGATAGATAATTGATACCAAGAAAGAGATAACTCAGTAGTAATAAAAAAAAATTCAGGTTATCTCTCTTTGCTCATCTTCTAACTAACCCCCCCCCCTTTTTGCATTCCAGATTCTTACAAGCTTGTGAATAATAAATAGAACTAGGTATACTATCAAGTATCTTTACTTAGTTGCTGAATCAATGTACCAAGTTTGAACTTTATACATGTAGTTATAATCATGGAAAAATAACTAGTGGTACAAAAACAATTTTTTTATTAACTGATTTTTCTTGGTACCTTTAAATTATGCAGAACCCTCATTCTTAAGCAAATAATGCATACCTCAAAGTTTTTGATCTTTTCCTCTGCTGCTTTCTTTTTATTCACTAGATTTTGTTTAATATCGTCCTTAGGTTGCAAAATGAACCTGTAAGAAGGTTAAATCTGTCATATAATAGTATGTTTGCTATGCCCCCTTATATGAAGTCTCTTCATCCTGATTATCTTTCTCATTTTTTTTTCTGCATTTGACGATCCCCATCCAGTGCAGCTAACGACCTTACGTTACCACAAAACCTGGTATTCAAGGACTTAGTTTTAATAAAGTTGATTCATTTTACATAATTTTTTGCTGTTTCACTTATAAAATTCTCTTGATAGCTCATTTATTACATATTTTTGAATGTATTAGAATGTTGAACTTACATTCTTCCTACACCTTCATATAATCTTGTGGTTTCTGGGAGAGCTCCAATTTCATGCTCCACTAATTCAGAATGTTTGATGCTTCTTTTAAGCTGGTCAATCTGTGCATCTGATAGTTTGATTTGTTGTGTTGTTGCTATCATTTTTGTTTGCAGCTCTTGAAAGGCCTAAAATTTTCCAAAACATGAATCAGATTCAGTGATGTACAATCAAACCTCGTTATCTCCAACTTGATGAGACCAAGAAAAAACTTTGAGATATCCTTGGCTTCGTGATATCGAGGGTAAAATACTTAAACATTAAGAGGTTGGGACTTTTAATTCACTTCAACATATCCATGGTGTTCGAGATATCGGTGTTCGAGATACTAAAGTTCAACTTTATGTTGTTTCACTAGATTTGTGCACACTGCTCAATGGAATCAGGTTTGCGAGCACTCATCCGTAAAACAAAGATTCTGACAGTTCCAGGTTGAATGTGAAAGATGATTTGCAAGTACTAAAGTCAGGTTATGAGTTATCTTGACTCTCTTTAACATGACAGCATCCCAGCTAGGAGGAAATGGAGGGGTGCCACACTGTGCCCTGCCCTCAAATTAGCATGCCCCTGTGCCCCTCACATGCTTATCTTTATCCTCTATTATTGCCCTACATAATTCTAACTGTCCTTAGAGTAATAAGACGTTTTCCTGGCACATCAAATATCAAAATTGTGAAAAATCCTGGAAAACGTCAGATATTTAGGATTAGATGAATCTATACTACCTGAGAATGTTTCCATATAAATACATGGATGACTAATCATGACTTTGGTGTTCTTAAGATGAAGAGTTTTAAACATTTTTCGTATGTATTTCTATGTAAAACTTTGATTGCCCATTGTCACCCAACCCTACCCCAAAGGGTCATGATTTGAACAAACTTGAATTTATGTTATCTGAGGAAGCTTTCACATGTTTCACCTTTCCTGACCCAGTGGTTCTTGAGAAGATTTTTTAAAGACTCCATCCAATTTTCACTATTTCTTAATCATCTCCCCTTGGAAGAGGGCGCAGCCCTATATTTTAACAAACTTGAATTCCCGTTACCCAAGGGATACTCTGTGCCAAGTTTGGTTGAAACTGGTCAAGTGGTTCTGGAGTAAAAAGTTAAAAATGTGAAATCAAACACCAATGACAATGACAGACAACGGACAAATTTGGATCAGAAAAGCCACAGTGTCTTGAGACAATCTTGAGCAAACTCGGGTATATAGTATGATGGGGGAAAGGGACCTAACGAGCCGCCATTAGTTCCTTGGTGCTTCACTTCAAACTCTCAAAACTCCCATTTTTATTCAAAAAATCCCTGAAAAAGTTTTGCAAGTCAAAAGGCAGAATGATGTCTTTTATTGTCATGAAAAAATTACCTTACTTCATTAAAACTTCAAAAAAGAAAAACTGAACTTCCAAATTAGGTCTCCGTTGTTAACCCTACACCATTTTTTACATGAAATTTTTGTTCAATACCCTTATTAGTCCCCTATCGGTGAAACCGGAGGTCCCCTCCGGTTTCACTGGTAGGGGACTATAGGTTTCCTCTGCATCTGTCCGTCTGTCTAGCTGTCTGTCAGTCTTTCCCACTTGGTTTTCCACACTTTTTTCCTATATGCTTGCAGATATTGAGCTGATTTTTGGATTGTGAGTGTATCTTGATGAGTTACAGAACAAGTTTGCATTTCGTTCTGCTTCATTGATTTTTGAGGATTAGGACCTTTTCAATTTTTAAGAGTTTTCCGCAATTTTTTTTTATGTGACTTTACCTTGATTAGTTATAGATCAAGTTTGCATTTTGTTCCACTTCAATGACCTTTGAAGGAATTATGGCATTTTCAATTTTAACGGGAACCAGATTACATTTGCCGGTAGGGGACTAGTATTGCTAATGCAATACTCTCAAAATGCTTGTTTTTCCGCACTTGTCATCCGTTACACTCTATCTTAGGGTAGCATTTTTAAGAGGCCCAAGGGCCTTAACGGTCACTTGAGTATAATATAGCGATCCATAGAATAAAACAAAATTAGCTGATAAATAAAGCTATGTTGCCCAAAAGCAAGAGAAATAGGATGATCAGGGATCAGCAAAATATCAAATTTACAACTCAATAACACATCTTCATTTGCCTATACTTTCCCCCATTTGTCACTATCCTCATGCAATCTGATTAAAATCAGATCCTTTGATCCGCTCACATAGATCGCTACACAAGGATCCGCTCACATAGATCGCATAAACCCCATTCAGGGTCATCTCCTTGTGACCTTTCATTTATCCAATCAAATGTTCCCTGGCAAGAATTTAGAAGTATCTCGGAATTAACTTACAGAACTGAATAGTTGTAGAGCACTGTTAGTTTAAAACACATTTCATTTCCCCTTACATTGGCCTCTCTTAGTCTTTGAAGATTATTTATTGTACAAAGATATGCCATTTTTGTCACATTTCCATTTATCTATTATTCAAAAGTTTACCTGACCTGTATTGTTATTCAATTGATGTTTTAAGTTACATTATTTACAGTGATTAACTATTACAGGTGAATAGCAAAGGGGGATAACTTCTTTCAGTAGAAATTAATAAACTGACCAAAGGGTACAGAACTTAAAAATCTGGTAAAAACACATATGCTTATTACAACTTTATATACTCTATATGCCTCTTAGATGCTCAGGAACAGAGAAGAAGATTTTCAAGGAAATAATCCATTTTCATGATAGATTCAATATAGCCCCATCCTAATACCAAATCCCCTGACCCAGGGGCCAAGATATTTGCAATTTAGGAAGAGACACTCATCATAACCATACACTTAGTATGTTTCCTTAATAACAATGGGCAGAGAAGAAGAATTTCAAAGAAATAATGCATTTCTACTATATATTCAAAAGAGCCTCACCCAAACACCAAAATCCCTGCAGGGGTTGAAATTTTCCTGGAAAACCCACAAGTCCAGGGGCCACTGATCAGTAAAAAATTACTAGCCCAAACCTCAAACTAACTAGCCCAACAATTTTTTATGCAGAATGAAAACATAACAAATTAAAGTTTCAAATGCTTTGGTGACCGAAACAATTAAATTAATTCTTAGTCAAAAAGAAATCAGTCTACATAGAAAAAGTGAAAGTAAACTGATGAGAATTTTTTTCTGTTCTGCTAGTCTGACGTACTATCGTTACATTTAAATTAGCTAGTCCGAGTCTTAAAATGACTAGCCCCAGGCATTGGGCTACTGTATATTTCAACCCCTGCCCTGACCCCGGGGTTATGAATTTCAAACTTTTTGAAAAGATTTCTTTGCAATTAGTTTCTCTGTTAAGGTATTCAATGTATAACGACCATATTTTGTATCTAATATATGAACGGTCATATTTTTGTAATTATGGTATCATTTTGATGGTGTTGTGAAATAAAAGTACTCCACCAAAGAAATTTTAAAAATTTTGATTATTGTCAAATTAATTGCACCTTGAATTTTACATTGAAGTCTATGGGCAATGCAGGTATTATTAAGATATTGTAAAAAGTATTTTGAATTTCATAAAAAGCTCTTAGTGAAAATATGCATAAACACTCTCATTATTAAAATATGAAATAAAATTAATCATTTACCACAGATATTTTGACGAAATTAAAATTTTCTTCTTTGCATCAAGGGCAGATAACTCTTCAAAAACTTAAAAAGTGCAAAATGACCAGCCTCTTACATGTTATCAGTCGTGTGAATTTGGTTCATTTCACTTTCATCGTTATCTAGCAATGCAATTTTAATTAGTTTAAAATGATTCAAAATTGTTCAAAATCCCTTCATTATACATTGAATACCTTAAGTACCCAAGGGCAGAGAAGAAGATTTTCAAAAAAAAAAAGAAAGAAGAATTTCCACTCTCTATTTAATAGACCCCCCCCCCAAACATGAACCCCTGACCCTGGGACCAATAAATTTCACAATTTTTTAAGAGGCAGTCTTGATCATCATAAACATACACCTAGTTTATCTTCTTTATATCCAGGGGAGAGAAGAAGATTTTTAAATAATTTATGCATTTTCACTTTATGATCAATAAAGCCCCGCCCTAACATCAGAACCCCTGACCCGCAGGCCAGGATATTTACAATTTTGAAAGAGGGGCCCTTGCTCATCATAATTATATACTTGGTTATCTGCTAAATACCTAGAAGCAGAGAAGAAGATTTTCAAAAAAATAATGCACACTATATTATCAATAGAGCCCCCCCTCCTGCAGAACCCCTCACCCAAATGAACTCTAAGGCTAATTGAAGATGAAAATGGATATGATCTCTTGAGACGGACAATCAACAGTCACTCAAATATTTTGAGGATGACCAAAAGCAGTCATATTAAAGTGTTACCCTAAGAAAGAGTGCAACAGAGACAAGTGTGAAAAAATTAGGTTAACGAACAACAATTTCATGGAAAAAATGTTGTAGGGTTAATTATACCTAATTTTTGGAAGTTTGAATATTTTTTTCTAAATTTATAAAAAGTAAGGTAAATGATTTATTTACGACAATAAAAGACAACCATTCGGCCTTTCAACTGACGGTGATTGGGAAGGGCTTGTGCCACGCGCCATAGTCGCATTAAAGTGAAAATTGGCACATTAAATCAACCATTGGTGGCGCCAAGGTGCACATTCAAATTTTAGCGATGTTCGTTGGAAATACATCGCTTACGACTTTCTGGCTTGTTTTTCTTTCGTTTTAAATACAGTCATTTTAATACAACAAATCTCATTGGTTAAAACCCGGCAAAAACTGCTTCTTGTTATATTAAGTGCTTAATATAGGACAACAAAGGTACATTACCTCACTCATTTCCAATGTTTAATTGCAATTTTGACATTATTGACCCAAAATACAAGAAAACTATATTGTTTGCGGGTTCATTTAAATGTGCTACACTGCATACGTGAAAAATAAAATTTGGTTAATGAAGAAACGTGTTCATTTTCGTATTTGACATTTGTTTGTCATTTTGTTTATCTTAAAATGGCCCATCAGAATATATAGATGGCCCATTCATTTTCAAAATGGCCCATTAAAAACTTTGACAGTTGCACCATAGTCCCATTGACCTTGATGGCCTTCCCAATCACTGAACTGATAAAACTTTTTCATGGATTTTTTGATAAAAATGGAAGTTTTTGAGAGTTTGAAGCGAGTCACTGAAAAATTAATGGCGGCTCATTAGGTCCCTTCTTCCCTATTATACTATAAACCCGATTTTGCTAAGACTGTCTCAAGACCTTTTGAAAAACCTTCGGCTCAGGTAAGCTAAACAAGAGGCCCATGGGCCACATTGCTTACCTGAGCACATTGGCTAGGAAAAAGCACAAATCAGTTCAGTATTGAAAAGTTAGGGGGGGGGGGGGCTTGAATTTTTAACTACCTGAGGATGCTTCCATATTATTATAACAAATGGTTTTGTTGTTCGTGAGCAGAAGTTTTTAAAAGATTTTTCCCTACATATTCCTTTGTAAAAACTTGATACCCAATTGTGGCCCCTCCCTACCCCAGGGGTTCATGATTTGAACAAACTTGAATCTACACTACCTAATGATGCTTCCACATAAATATATGATTAATCATGGCTGTTCTGCTCTTGAGAAGAAGATTAATTCCTATATATTCTTATGTAAAACTTTGGTCCCCTGTTGTGGTCCCACTCTACACCCAGGGGATCATGATTTGAACAAACTTGAATCTACACTACCCCAAAATGCTTCCATATCAATATGACTAAACATGGCTTTGCCATTCTTCAGAAGAAGATTTTTAAAGATTTTTTCTTACATATTCCTATGTAAATCTGAGGATGCTTTCATTTCAAAATGACTAATCATGGCCTTGCTATTTTTGAGAAGAAGATTTTTAAAGTTTTTTCCTATATATTCCTATATAAAACATTGATTATCCATTGTAGCCCCTCCCTAACCCCTGAGGTCATGATTTGAACAAACATCAATCTACACTACCCCAAAATGCTTCCATATCAATATGACTAAGCATGGCTTTGCTGTTCTTCAGAAGAAGATTTTTAAAGATTTTTTCTTATATATTCCTATGTAAAACTTTGATCCCCCATTACTGTGGCCACAACCTTCTCCCGGGGGTCATGATTTCAAAGAACTTGAATCTTCACTACCCGAGAATGTTTCCATATCAATATGACTAAACATGGCTGTGCTGTTCTTGAGAAGAAGATTTTTAAAGTTTTTTTCCCTTTATATTTTTATGTAAAACTTTATCCCCCATTGCGGCCCTTCCCTACCCTCGGGCATCATGATTTGAACAAACTTGATTCTACACTAACTGAGGATGCTTCCACATAATTATGACTAATCATGGCTTTGCAGTTCTTGAGAAGAAGATTGTAAAAAAAATTTTCCTATGTATTCCTGTGTAAAACTTTGATCCCCCATAGTGGCCCCATCCTACCCCTGGGGGTCATGATTTAAACAAACTTGAATCTACATTACCTGAGGATGATTCCATATCAATATGACAAAACAGGGCTTTGCTGTTCATGAGAGGAAGATTTTTAAAGACTTTTTCCTATGTATAACTTTGATCCCCCATTGTTACCCCACCCTAACCCCAGGGATCATGATTTAAACAAATTTGAATCTACACTATGTAAAGAAGGTTTCCTATATAAGTTTCAACTTTTTTGGCCCAGTGGTTCTTGAGAAGAAGATTTTTAAAATATGCCACCAAATTTTCACTATTTTTTAATTATCTCCCCTTGAATGAGGGCATGGCCCTTCATTTGAACAAACTTGAATCCCCTTCACCCCGGCACGTCGATTTACCCAAATGGACCCAAATGGAACCCAAATGGACCCAAATGAACCCAAATGGAAACACAAATGGACCCCAATGGAAACACAAATGGACCCAAATGGAAACACAAATGGACCCAAATGGAAATCAAACGGACCCAAATGGAAACCAAATGGAATATTAAATATATATATCATCGCATTATCAAGTTGTTACTTATTTAAAATGATGAAAATAATGAACTTACAAATGAAGAATATTAATTATTCATTTCTAATATTGTATTTTAAAATACGAATTAATTTTCTATAGTATTCTATACATCGGCAAAATTATTGGGGGGGGGGGGATAGTGCGCTTCTCGTGCCCCCCCCTCCCCCCCCCCCGGTTCCTACGGCCATGAAATCTATAAACTTTAATATGAAATACTTCCATTTTGTATTCAATGACATGCAAAAGTTATTTCAAATAAAAAAAAAATAATTCGTATTTTAAAATACAATATTAGAAATGAATAATTAATATTTTCCATTTGCAAGTTTATTATTTTCATCATTTTAAATAAATAACAAATTGAGAATATGATAATATATATTTAATATTCCATCTGTGTTTCCATTTGGGTCCATTTGGGTTCCATTTGGGTCCATTTGGGTAAATCGACGCACCCCCTTCACCCAAGGATGTTTTGTGGCAAGTTTGGTCGATATTGGCCCAGTGGTTATGGAGAAGAAGTCGAAAATGTGAAAAGTTTACAGACGGACTGACAGACGGAATACAGACAAAATGTGATCTGAAAAGCTCACTTGAGCTTTCAGTTCAGGTGAGCTAAAAACTGAAGAAAAACGCTGTCTCCATGTCTAGTTGTGTTCAACACTTGGCAGTATGGTCCATATATGGTCATAAAAGAAGTCAGGATTTGAAGCTTACATTATACCTTTTTCAATTCTAAGTCAACCTGCATGGACATGGCTTTTGATGTTGGTTATTTGTTTCTCAATCACAGTCGCACTGACATTCACTTCTTGTTTAGAGGGTTTATTATTTCAAGTCCAACGAGCCCGAATTCGTTTTATCGTCGGGGTCGGATATCTATGATATTCCTACGCAAAGAATAATGGTATATTATATTACATTTTTATAATAAATTTATTTAAATATGTATTTGGAATTTTTTATGCGTTTTTCTTGAATATATCTAAAGCGATCTAGATATATTCATTGATTTTGGGAGAGAGAAAAAAAATGAACTATTTCTTTATACAGCGGATATTATTGATTTACCTGCGACGCCATTTTCCGCCATTTCCAACAAAGGGGTATCGAATTAGAGTCGGCATTTTTAACACGCATTAAGATGGCAGGAGTAAATTCTGATTATGTCAATGAACTAAAAAATGAACTTGGACGGATTGAACAATTTGATGTGAAATTGGTGCAAACAGCCCGTATATTAACAGAAGGTAATTATTATAATGATGATTCAGTTGAAAAGCACGTGTCTTGGACTCTTTCATGTAGGCTTACCCAGGGTGTCGTTGAAGTTTAATAACAAATTAATTTAAAATTACTTTGAGAAGTGTGTGCATATGTTAAGATTTAATGCAGTGTTCACTTCAACGATTTTTTGACTGTGTCCTTGGATATGCTGGTTGCACTGTTTAGGGACACAGATTATTGTAAATATTGTATAGAAAAATTGATTGCGTGAACTGTATCTACTTTAAGGGGAGTGATTTTATTCGAATTTATGATTTATCCCTTTTTTCCTTTGGATACTTTGTCAGAAGTCATGGTTTTGAAAGAAATTATTTACGATAGACGGCTTTCTATGGCACGCCAAATTCACAAAAATGAGATAATCATAGTTTCACAATCGATAAACTAGGTTTATCGGTTGTAAACTATAGTTTACGAATTGTAAACTATAATTAACAACGTTAATCTATATTTCACATCTGTAAACCATAGTTAACGCGATAATCTATGTTTCACAACCGTAAACTATACTTAACACCGAAAACAATCATTTGCGATTGCAAAACATAGATTTTCTGATAAATACAGTTTCACGATTTGTAAACTATAGTTTACAAACCGTTAACTATAGTTAACGATCTGATAAATATAGTTTCACGATTTGTGAAACTATGATTAACAACCGTTAACTAAAGTTTACGATTGTAAACTATAGTTTACGATTGTAAACTATAGTTTACAAACGTGAATCTATGTTTATCAACAAAATCTATTGTTAACGCTTATTACAGACAGATAAACTTAGATTAGCATTCGTAAACTATAGTTAACAACCGTTAAATATAGTTTTACAGATGAAAACTATACTTAACGAATCGTTAACTATAGTTTACGATTTGTAAACTATAGTTTACAGTCGATAAACCTAGTTTATCAATTGTGAAACTAGGTTTTACTCATTTTTGTAAATTTGGCGTGCCATAGCTTTCACATTTACAAAAGTTATTTCCCTTTGCGAGGTCAACCGCATTCAGCAAACCTCGTCTGATTCCGTCACCTACATCAAACCTCGGCTGTATGAGGAAACTTTATATGCATCTTTGCTTAACATTTTTTATAAGGCTGACTGTTTACTGCTTAGGGAAAATGTAACGCTTTGAAAACGATAATAAACATGCATCTGACATACGATAAAAAATTTCAAAAGCATTTAGGTAACACTAAGAATAACAATTACCAAGAAATCTGCACTTAGTATCTTTACATAATCATGTTTGTTAACGGATCGAATTTAGCACATTGTGCACGTGTAATTATAAGGCGCAGCCATATTGTGTATAAAGTAGCTCCAGTTCAGTGGAGGTTTACATGATACAGCCGAGGTTAGATGAGGTACGAATCGGCCGAGGTGTGCACAGTGGGGTCAATCGACTTAAGACACTGTTTTCCCTCTATACCATTACCAACTTTATGGGCAATGTCTTACAAATGAAATCTGTATGAATATGTTTTGTTTTCTATGTTGCCCCATACTATGGCAATACAGGAAAGGATCAAAATTGTTCGATAGCGTTTAAAGGTTGAAAATATTTACAGGTAAGTTACAAAGGTTATAGTGAGAAAAATGAGCTTTACACCAACAATGGGAGATAACTCTACGAATGTGAAATTTGTCTATTGTATGTCAAGACATTGGTACTGCATTTTACAGGTTGGGCACAATTCCCTTCTTAGTAACTGTTGTGCTAAAAGGGCATTGTTCCCCTGTTCAGTAATTAAAAAACATTACTGTGTAAGGGAATTTTCATCATATTTTTAAAAAAATGCAAAAAAATCTGTTATTTAATAAAAAGTACATGAAAAATATGATGTGATGTGTTTAAACTTTATTAAACCAACCTCACTGACAAAAATTTTCAGTCCTTTACTGCTGCAGACAAGTGTGATGAGATTTAATCGGACGACATCATGAGTATTCTTGCAATGGGTGTGTTTGGAAGTATAATATTATTTGTTCAAAAACGGAAAATTTCAGAGCTTGACTTCGTGGAAGTGATATCTTTTGAACATGCATAAGAATTTAAACTCACATTCAATAGTAATCCACAACTTTTACTTTAATTTTCTCCGTTGAGAAAATAATCAAAAAAGTATGGAATCTTGTAAGGGCATGCATTCTAAAACCATCTATTAAAATCCAATATTTAAAATTATGATTTGCATCTGTAAAGAAGCAGTGGTATTGAAAAAAATGTTTTTTCATTGTGTTTGAAAGAAATGATATATAATGAAATTAGAATGAATGATTTTATGTAAGAGTTAGCAAGTGTTGAACGTATTTAACACTGAAAGGCCTCTGTAAGAAATCTATATCGTAGAAATATTTTATCACTCATTTTGCAGAAGTAAATATTGTAGTTTTAAGCATACTTACACTTAATAGACTATAAATATTTAGAGGATGTGAAAATATTCTTACACTTAATCTTTTACTCAAAGCAAACAGTTCTGCAGCTAGTATATGGTTTGACAAAACTTTGTATGGTCAGACAGAACATTTGATTGTCAGACCAAATGTCTGACGGTGATTCCAGTATTTCAACAAGTCTGCTGTCTGGAATCTTTTCACATTTTTATACGCCCGTCTTAAGACGGGACATATTATGTTTTAGCCTTCATGTCCGTCTGTCTGTCTGTAAGCTTTTTCGTGTCCGGCTCATAACTTTAATACTATTAGGCCTAGAATTGTCAAACTTTGTCAGCTGATACATCTTGGGTAGAAGGTGTGTTGGGCATTAAAAGTAGGTCGCTCTGACCTTAAATTAAGATGCTATGGCCAAATATGGAAAAATCCTGTCCAGCTCATAACTAGAAAACTGTTAGACCTAGAATCATCAAACTTGGCCAATATATGCAGCTTAGGTAGATGGTGTGTTGCGACCTATTTCAAGGTCACTGTGACTTTTCATTTAAGTGAAATTTAAAAAAAAAAACTATGTCTTTTAACTTTTAAATTACACAATCCCAAAAGATGTAAGAGTATTGCAGTATCCTTATTAAGAAAATGTTAAATCAAGAAGATACTTATTTTTTTTCACTATATAACTTTACAGCAATCTGTAACAAATGTAATGTTATAAGAGAAATTTCACCTCTCCCATGGGTATAATTATCAAGCACTGGTCAAGAAGAATTTTGATAACAGAAAATAGCATGTCAAATTAGAGAGAAATTAATGAGTTTAGTGTAAGGAGATAACTGGTAGAGCATCTTTGATCAAGCAGGTGTTATCTATATCTCTTGGGAATTGGGCAAAGGAATCAGCCTCTTAATTGAATAGTTTTGTTGCCTAGTCTAACTTTCAAGATAAATTTGATGTAAAGTAATTAATACAATTCTCTTTTCTGCTTGAACATTTAGTAAGGGTGACATTCTCGGGGATACATAATTAGCCAGTGATTTTTTTTTTTGTATTTTAAACCACCACCCCCTCCTTTTGAATTGGGGAAAAATTAGCGATATTTTCCTCAAATTGGGAAAAATCATTAATAGTAAATTAGAATGCTAAAAAATACATAAAAAATCAAACTAAGTAACAACAACAGTTTTTGTTTGATTTTAACTTTGAATTTGATTTAAATTCATAAAATAATCATTTAAAAAAAATTAACATCAATATTTTATTGAATGTGAACATGGCTTTTATTAGTCACACCTTGTAGCTTCTATTTTATTGGAATTGCTTTGTCTAATTTCATAAAAAATAAAAACCAGCATTTAGACTCATAATCTAGTAAACTGTTTTATATTGATAATCAAGTTTACAGTCTTTATTGTTTGTTTTTTCCTGATTTTAGTGAAACCCTATGTGTTGTCCATTTCCTGATATTAGCCTGACCCACTATGGCAGTCAAACCAAAATCATTATGACAATTGACATGCAACATGACTTGTATCTGGGAACTATTTACCAATTTATTTAGGATATTGTAGGCTACTTATCTGCTTATATGGATATCTACATTGTTTTACACATTCATTAAAAAAAATCTGCTGCATATGCATGGATTTAGAGAAAAAAATTGAAGAATAAACATGTATTTACTCTGTCAGCAAATTTAGCGACTTTTGTTAAAATTAAAACATAATTTCCGTATGTTTGAAATTGGGGAAAATATACTAATAATTGGGGGAAAATAGCTAATTTTTATGAGGGAAAACAGCCGAATATCGGTAGCATTTTGACCCCCCAAAAAAACGATGAGATGACTTAAGCCACACCTCTTTACTGATAGAAACGATGTAATTGGTTCCTTGCGCAGGGTATGACACTAAGGCACGTCCGACTGACCCAGTCTAGTAAATGAGTGGTCCGGTCATGTAAAATGTTCATGAACTAGACCGACTGGTCGTGTGTATGAAATAAATGAGAACCTTCATTTCAGTATTTCAAGTAAATATTCTAAAAAGTTTTTTATTTTTATTTTTTTTTTTATTTCTTATTTGTCTGATAGTAAATATCTCCCAGCTGTAATAGACAAATTGCGATGGAAACTAGCTTCGTTCACTTTTTTTTCATTATAATTAGCAGTTTATAAAAAGTCAATTTTCAAGTTTGGTCAGTCTAGTGATTTTAAGGTCAGGGCTAGTAAACATTATTGGAAGTAGCCTGACTGGTCTAGTACTCATAAAAGTTAATGTCAAACCCTGTTGCGTCACTTGTTGATGTCTGATCTATTTTTATCCCATGCATATTTCACCCGTGAATGAAAACCTTTGCAAATTTCAGTATTGATGAGCTAATCTGGCAACCAATGAGAATCTAGGTCACTATTTGAGAGATGCTAATTAAGTATAGCTGAGAATGTCACTCCTTACTGAATGTTCAAGCAGAAGAGAATTGTACTAAAACTAATTTGATATTGTATAATATAATTAAAACTAATTTGATATTGTATTTAATAAAACTAATTTGATATTATATAATATTTTTATATTTTAATTTTTATATCTTTACAACAAATTGCAGAGTGTCATGTCTCACTAAGATGACAAAATTATAGTCTAAAGAATAAACATAATTTGTTTTGTTGTTTTATAAGGCTGTAGCATTATTAATCATATTAAATATACAATAAACAAAGCTGCAGACGAGCATTTGTTAAGCTCTAACAAAAACCAGTGGAGAAATATATGATGTACCGGTATTATTTGTTATAATTAATACCTACACCGCAGAAGATGTAAGTACATCAAACATTATAAGGAATTGAAAAATCATTGAAATCTTTGTATCAAGGTTAACATGATTTTCTTGCACTTTAAACTATTTATGATGATTGAACAATATTTGACGGGCGTATCATGCTGTGGCGAGGCACTTTATTGACTTCTCAAAAACCACTGCAGTGATCCAGCTAGGGGGAAATAGAGAGGCACAGTTCCCTGCCCTCAAATCAGTGGGCCCCTCTGCCCCTAACGGGTTCCCCTGTGTCCCCTGTTAGTGCCACTTATCACTATGACTGTCTTCCATTACCTCATCAGAATAATAAGTGTGATCCAAAGCAGATTACCTAAGGACAGTTGGCAATTCACACCTCCTGTACTTCCGATGATTATGCAACAAAGCTCAAAATATAACAATTACCATAGATATATAAGCTAATTAATTTGGCACATGATTTGCAGAAATAAAGAAGGCAGAAGGTGGAAGTAAGAAGGTAATTCCTACAGTTGAAGCCCATCACAACAGACCACAGGGAGTAGCTGTCAAAGTAAAAATTCCACAGAATGAATACCCCAAAGTAAGGCAACATTGAATGTCTAATTTGAAAAAAATAATGATGTTGATTGTGGCAATTTTACAGTGGCCAGCTGTTCTAATTTATTTTGAATTTGTACTTAACTAAATCCTGTTTTCTCTGCAGTTTAATTTTGTTGGAAAATTATTGGGTCCAAAAGGTATGTCACTTAAGAGGTTACAAGAAGAAACAGGGACAAAGATGTCAATTCTTGGAAGAGGATCAATGAGAGACAAAGCAAAGGTGTGCATAAGCAAAATATGTAAAACCAAGAATTAATATTTCAAATGCAAGTTTCCAAAATTGATTTTGTACATCTCTTAATGTCCATGATAACTGAAGATTAAATCTGAGAGATATTCAGTGAAGTAATTATTTTTGAACCTTTAACTTGCAGGAAGATGAACTGAAGAAAGAGGGTGGAAAATATGCCCATTTAAATGAAGAGCTGCATGTCCTTGTCGAAGTATACAGTGAAATTTCAGATGCTTATGCCAGGCTCTCCCATGCTTTATCAGAACTGACTAAATTTTTATCGCCGGTAAGTATTGTTTTCTCCAAGAGGAATGTCACAGTCCATTTTGATTTTCTCTAAGTCTTATGCCAGATGTAAATAAAAATAAGTTTTTTCTGAAATGTGCATGTGATGTCCTCGATACTTTTTAAAAGAAGAGGTGTCAAGTGATTAATTAGCTATATTTCCCACACAGGAGTACAATGATGAAATACATCAGCAACAAATGGAGGAGATGATGTATCTGAATGGAGAGAAAGCAGCAGGAGCAGGCAGTGTACCTGGTGTGGGTGGACGAGGGAGAGGAAGAGGTGGTCCAGGAGCCGGAGGAAGAGGAGGTCTCCTAACCTCACCTGCTGGAAGGGGAGCGCCCCCACCTAGGTCAGTTGATATAGTTCAGTGAGATGTGTACAACTGATATTTGGTTACAGGGAAACCTGTGTCAAGTATTTTATGATCAGAAATTAAATTACAGTGAAACCTGTCTTATCCGACATGCTGTGGGAAATAAAATCAATGTCAGATTAGGCAATGTGTTGGATTACCCAGTGTTGAATATTTCTGAGCATTATCATTAGTGTCAGATGACTTCATACAAAAAGAAATCATTTTTCATTAGGTTTAGAGTACACGTATATTTAATTGTCAAAGTGTTTGCATAATTGCATGTTTCTTTGTTGTATAAAATATACCTGATTAGCATTTCTTTGAGAAACAGCATTTGTGATATAGCATTAGTAACTCTGTAGTAATATACGATAATTTTTTTCATGAACAAAACAGATGGAACTGCCAATCGCTTCGCGATGTTGCAATTGAATTTTTACTTACTGACATACAGTTGATTAAAGTAAATATTTCGTCTACCTTCTCTATACAGTGGTATTATTTTTTTCAACAGTTTTTCGCCATTATTTATTTCTCGACATAGACTGTGCTATTAATACCGTCATGCGATGGGATGTAACTCTAAAACATTTTTATTGCGATTGAATTTTAATCAAAGAGACGTAAAATTTAATGAACAACTTAAAGCGGTATTATTTGCTTCCAGCAAATCTTTTATGTGCACAGCCTCGCTTTATTTAGTGTATACAGTGTTCCAGCTAGGGTGAAATAGAGGGGCGCCGCGCCCCGCCCTCAAATCAGTAGGCCCCTCTGCCCCCCACAAGCGCCCCTGTGTCCCCTGTTAGTGTCCTGTATTATTCTGACTGTCCTTTTCCCTCATTAGAATAATTGGTGTGTTCCAATGCAGATTACCTAAGGACAATCAGCAATTCATACCTCCTGTCATAGACGATTACACAACGAAACTCGCATTACGGTACCTATGTAATGTACAGGTGCCCACTTTCAATTACAGGTGATTAGGTAATTACTTTGATCACTTGACAGTCTGAATAGGGGTTAAAAGCTCAAATACTTTGAGAATGTCCAAGTTATCTGTTTTAATAAATATAAAACAAGAGTCTTGTATTATAGCATTCTAAAAATAAATCGCGAAGTGAAAGTAGAATTAACATTGACCTTCATTTCTTATTTATAAATTCTTGACATTTTTCTGAAAAAAGAAGGAATTCAGTATTTAATAGCACAGAAACAAGTATAAATATTCATTCATTTTCTCCTTAATTATGATTTTTGACACTCTGGAAGGTATTTTATGAGATTACAAGATATGTACATATTAAATGTGTTCTATTTCATTGCAGAAGTTTAAAATCTTAATTTAATTAATTAAGTATCTGCTAATAACATGACCAATATGATAAAACAAGCAAAAAAGATATTGGCTTTAATTTGTAAGTTTAATACTAGTCTAATATGTTACTTATAACCTACAAATACTGTATCCATATTTTATACATTTGCCAAAAACAGACCCAATCACATGTAGCACATGTACTGCACTGAACATATGAGACACCAGCTAGTTTATAAGAATTATGGTTTTGTTTTTGAAAATAGGAAATAAGAATAGAAAATGATTAAAAAAGAAGAAGAAAAGTAATATTTATTCTAAGAGGAATTTTTAAATTCCTTTTTATATGTTAATTTATATACTAGCTATAGATTAGGCCTTAAATGTGTGTTTATATATCTTTCAAATCAATAAGGTTAAAAAAATTAATATTTGAAGGAGTTCATTATTATAAGGGTGAAGTAATGAGATACGCCTATGTAGCAAAAGCTTGTGACAAACGGTATACGTGGCGAAAAAGTGCCCTCCTCTTGCACCCCTCCATTTTCAGATCCTAGCTGGAACACTGGTATATTAACCCGGAAATGAAACATTTTCTATAAGACACAATGCTGCCTTCAAATTGTGTATTGTGTACATGTTACACAGTAGTTCGCCGTACTACTTTTTTTTATTTTCATAACATGGCTTTCCGAAGGGTTCTGACTGCATATTTGATTTTTATTTCACACTAAAAATCTTATTTATTCTGTAAGGTAAAGGCAATCTATATATCATGTACTATTTTATTTTCTGTCGCGTGGATGCTATTTTGTCAATGCGAGAATAAAAATTGATAACTATTAATGCTTAGATAAACACTTTCAAACTCGTACGTATAATTAACTACTCTCTAAGTAGACCAATCTTGTGACCAAACGGGACATTCATGTTACCTGGCCAGCGGCTAATTACGGTACACCAGTGTAATTATGTCGGATTACTCAGGTGAAATCATAAAGTAATTATCTAGTTTTGTTGACAAAAAAAGCCAGAATTCAGAATGTACAGTGGTCGGAATATACAGTTTTATTCTATACAAATTATAAAGATTTTTTTGGGAATAAAATTTGAGGTCGTAAAGTCCACGGATTGCACAGTTGTCGGATTGGACAGTGGGCACTGTATTTTATTGAAAAAAGGGATGAGTGTGATAGAAACACAAGTTGATTGGAGATTCATTTAAGTATAAAATTTTAAGTAATCATAATTTAAAAAAAAAGAAAGGGAGAAATAGGTTAAGAAATGTATGTAGCTGTTAGTTATTGGATGCACAGAGTCCATCTTTTATTTAAAAAAAACAAGGAGAAATGAGAAATGTATGTAGCTGTTAGTTATTGGATGCAGAGAGACCATCTTTTATTGTGGCTTCTGCTGAACATTGACGAGAGTGATATACGAACAGATATTCTTGCTTCTAAACATGTACCTTCATAAGAATAAGACAGTTCTGTTGATTTTTTATAAGTAGACTAAATTGTCAATTTTTTTTTCATTTTTATTTATTTTTTTTAACAGAGGAGCACCTGCAAGAGGTGCCCCACGTGGTGTCCCAGCCCCTCGAGGAGCTCCTGCAGGACGAGGTAGACCAGCACCTCCACCACCTCCTCGTACAGAAACATACGACGATTACAGCACTCAGGTAAAAAAAAAGTTAATGTACATGTAGATTTCTTACTCAACACCAGTGATTATCCAAATGTGGTGTTTACATTGTATATTTAAAACTTTACAATACTTTTAAGGCTTATGAAGATCCATATGCAGATCCCTATGCTAGAGATCCATATGCAGAAACAAGCTATGCTGCAGGGTAAGTACTTAACTTCTTTTTGAAGGTATTTCTTCTTGTGGGAATTACAGTTACTGTTACGAGATGCTGATGTGATATGTAACTAATTGGATACTTCTACACTTTAGAGATACACAGTACTTTGACTATGGTCATGGCTCAAGTGCACAAGGTTATGATGATGGGTATGCCAAAGGTAAGTTAACTCCAATAAATATTCTTTTTTGTAAGTAACTTTGAAAAAGTCATTGAAGTGAACATGAGTATTTACATGTTTGTCAACTACAATGTGGTCTATTTCTTGTAGAGAGTGGATGGTCTGCAGGAGGTAGTTCCTTTAAAGCCCCACCAGCACCCCGTGGGGGACGTGGACGTCCCCACCCCTATGCTAGTGCACGAGGAGGCTACTAAGAGCACTGATCGCCCACTGATGCCAACTCTTTTATCACTCATATTTCACACATCATGTTTACTTAGGTACTTTGTTACCTTTCAGAATAGACTAAATCATGTAGCCCTTCTGAATGATCTGATGGAAACTCATAGATTTAAATCCTAACTTTTGAACATCAAAATTAAAATCCCATGATTATTTTCAGTTTCAAATGGCTACAAAAGTTGTATTCTCTTCACAGTTCGTTGATGTCAAAGAAGGCAAATTAAAATTGTGTTGTAAACCTGGTGTACCTGTATATATATATAAAAAAAAAACTTAAAAGTATTGTGTTCACTGAATTTTAATTTACTTATCAGTGTAGTATAAAATAAAAGAAAAAAGTATATTGAAAAAATGTTTTTATCTCTAAAAGAAAAAAATCCAATGTCTCAGCAAACGTTAACATGCAAAACCACAGTATCTGTGCCAAAAAGTATTTGTACCAAAAAGAAAAATCCAGGAAAAAAACTAAAGATAGGAATAAATAATAAATATGCATTAACATAATTGTCTTAATTCAGTATTATAAATGCACATTGTGTAGTTGAATTTTAAAGATAAATCTCTTAAAAACCTTAGTGTCTTTAAATAATTCAGGTGTATGGACCATTTAACTAAACCCCATACATTGCTATATCTGAGGCATTGGATTTGTTTGTTTGTATTCTGTGTATTAACAAAAATAACTTAATTTTACAGATTAGACAGAGCAGATTAAGTTATTATTATTGAACAGAAAACTTAGTTTAAGCAAAGTTGAAAAGGAGTTTGGGAGCTTTTATGCTAACAAAATGAAAACCTAAAACAAGAAATTGATTTAATCCTCATTTGTGTCTTGAGTCAAAAGTGCAAAGTATACCAAAAGGAGAAATGAACATCGTGGATATTGATCCACACAATAATGGTCATAAATATTCCACTATATATTATATATGATCTTGCAGAATATCATGTGGGGAAGACTTGGGCTGAAACTTGACAACAACTTTGGAATTAAATGTTTAATGGTCTTTTCAATGCAAGATTAATGTTTCTAAATTCCATAGTGAAAGTCTAACTAAGTTTACTCATGCTTGTTTTATTGTGATATCTAATACCCATCAAAAAGAATAAGAAGAAGAGACGAAATTTCACAGCCCCATTTTACTAGAGACTGGTAAGACACCCATATACAGGTAATCCTCAGTACTGATTAAAACTAAGGACTTCCAAATGGTCCTAAATAAACAGAACTAATTAAACTAAATTGTAAAAATCGTAACACAAGTGCTCTACCTTTAAAAAGCAGTAAAATCATAAAATGTAGAGGAATTTCAAACTATAAATGCCATAAAAATGGTACTAGAGAAAGCTGAGAGGTATTGTCACAACAATTTGTTGCATTCTAATTGTCCAAAAATTCCATTCTCTTAAAATTTTCGCATATAGAATTTTTATGGACTATAAAAGATTTTAAAGTAAGACTAAGGGTTGTGACATTCATCTCTTATTTAACACATCATTTGCACAAGATCATTTTTTTGATCATTGTTTCCTATATTTCAGATTGCCAGGAGGTTTTTGGTACCGCCAGAGTGTTCAAAGGACTTTTACACCTTATATACCTATTTTTTAAAAGAGAAAATAAAATAAATGATTAGTACATGTATGTTCTTTCTTGTTTTATTTATTGAAAATAAGTATAGAAATGTTGCTATCTAAACTGATACCTTTTCAAGCTAAAAGTTCTTTAAGAAATATGTCTATTTGACGGTGTTAATTTAAACAATGGAAATATGAAAAGAGGGGTATATCATTACTTTGACTAAGGTGTTTTGAGTAAGGTCACAAGGAGAAAGGTGGAAATTCATATTTTGATCCTTTTGTTACTGATGACAATGAGAAACTCAAATGTGACTCCACCCTATTTTTGTCTTTTCTTAATTATCTCCCCTTGGAAGGAGGCTTGGCACTTTATTTGAACAATTTTGAATTCCTCTTCACTTGAGGATGCGTTGCAACAACTTTTGTTAAAACTGGCCCCGTGGTTATTGAGAAGATGAAAGTGTGGACAAAAGACAGGTGGACAAAAGGTGATCTGAATAGTTCACTTGAACTTTTAGCCAAGTTGAGCTGAAAATGGAGCAAGACCCATTCATATTACAAAAAAATTGTGTGATGTGATCCGTAGAGTGTGTATGCCATTTCATAGGCAAATAATTTCAATCGTTGTGTTTGTTTGTTGTTTAACGTCCCTCTCAAGAATTTTTCACTCATTTGGAGACGCCACCACTTGCCAAGCAAGTAAAATAAAGTGCCAAGCCTCCTTCCAAGGGGAGATAATTAAGAAAAGACAAAAATAGGGTGGAGTCATTTAAAGATCTCAACAACCACAGGATCAGAAAAGGTGAAACTTAAGTGGAATCTTCCTGAAGTAGTGTAGATTCTAAATTGTTCAAGTCATGGCCCCCAGGGGTAGGATGGGTCACAACAGGGAATCAAAGTTTTACATTGAAATATATAGGAAAAATATTCTTCAGAACCACTGGGTCAGAAAAGGTGAAACTAATGTGGTATCTTGTTGATGTATTGGAAGATTCAAAATTGTTCAAATCATGGCCTCCAGGGGTAGGGTCGGGCCATAATAGGGAATCAAAGTATATCAGAAAAATCTCAAGAAAAAATCTTTAAAAAATCTTCTCAAGAACCACTGGGTCAGAAAAGGTGAAACTAAGGTGGAATCTTCTGGAAATAGTGTAGATTCTAAATTGTTTAACCCCCCCCCCCCTTTTGTCACAACAGGGAATCAAAGTTTTAACTAATATGAATAGGAAAAATCTTTAAGTAATCTTGTCAAGAACCACTGGGCCAGAAAAGGTGAAACTTACAGTAATTCTGTCCAGAGTGGCTAACTGGTAATCATCCATGTGTTCATACATGTAGAAATTCTCCTCATTGCCAATCAAGTGGTGATGATTGTTCCTCAGATCCACAGGCAAAATCTTTCAAGCATGTATTTGCAAATTTCCACCCAAATATGGATGCTATAAGTCACGAAAGAATGGTGGAACGATGGGCCCATAATAGGGAATCAAAGTTTTACATTGAAATATGTAGGGAAAATCTTTATAAATCTTAATTCTTCTCAAGAACCACTGGGCCAGGAAAGGTGAAACTAATGTGGAATCTTCCTGATTTTTTCCTCTATATTCCTTCGTAAAAATTTGATACCCCATTGTGGCCCCTCCCTACCCCTAGGGGTCATCATTTGAACAAACTTGAATCTACACTACCTGAGGATGCTTCCATATCAATATGACCAAACATGGCTTTGCTGTTCTTTTTTTTTTTTTTTAATTATTTTATTTTTTCAACACAATTCATTATATACAAAATGTCCAATATCTTTTCTTTAACAGAATTGTGTATATAGAGAGAGAAAGAGAGAGGGAGAGAGGGGAGAAAGAGAGAGAGAGAGAGAGTTACAAAAATAGTTGGTTCCACCTGTTCCACTGATCATCAAATTTCTCTTTTTCACCATTTTTATATGATATATATTTTTGTGTTTGGTAAAAATAACTCAAGTGTGATATTGCAGAGTGCACATTTAGAGGTTTTTCAGTGCATCTAGAAGTATAAATATAATATTTCAACCATAAGATTAAGATATTAGCTATTTCATTATTTTTTCCTCCAATACCTAAAATAAATGATTTTTTTGTTATGGACAAATGGAGGTTTTTCTGCTGGAGATAATATTCAAAGTTTTCAAGGAGTGATTGTACAAGATCACATTCCCATAAGATATGTTCAATTGTCTCTTCTTCTTTTTGACAAAAAGTACATTGCTTTGAAACAACCTTCTTAATTTTGAATAAAAAAGAATTTGTTGCCAATATTTTATTTAAAATTCTGTACTGAAACCACTGGAGTTTACAGTTTTTTGTGACTTGAAATGGTAATTTATGAATTATTTTGCATTCCTTGTTATCCAAATCAAATAATTCAATCCATTTTTTGTAACCAGCTGTTATAGAAGAATTTTTATTGAGAATTTCATAGAAGTTTTTTGATTTTTTGCATTTTGATACAAGATAAAAGTTAGACATAATAAGAGGATTTTCTGATTTTTGTAAATTTTTATCGAAATTGCTCCTCTTTATCCAAGCTTTAACTGCATGGATCAAGCTAGAATATTCTACAAAATTAATCTTTATATCTGGATAAGTATTGCAAAAGCATTCATAGCTATAAAAAAAAACCATCTACTCCAATAATGTCATTAATATATCTAATATTATTGTCAAAAAGTTTTTTACTATAAAAGGTTTTCCCTCCAATATGGATCATAGGGTTATAAAACAGTGGAGAGTATACAGTAGCATCAGAATCAGTACAAATTTTATTCAAATCAACCCAGGACTTGAACACATCAATCCAGAATTTATTTTTTAAGGTTTTCATAAGTTGAGTGATGTATTCAATACCACAGGATGCAAATTTATATATATTCATATTTGGGATGAAATTTTCCCACCCTTTATTTGTAAAAACTAGATGTCTTATCCAAACTAATTTCAAAGAAACAATGAAAGCATTTAAATTTATCATTTTCAGTCCTCCGTCTTCATATTTTTTAACAATGACATCTTTCTTAACTCTATGAGTTGAATTATTCCATAAGAATGAGAAAAAAAGTTTTTCTAATTCTTTACAATAAGAATTAGATGGATTTGGGATTGACATAAATAAATGATTTAATATAGGTAAAGCCAATGTCTTTATAACAGTAATTTTTCCAATTGGAGTTAAAAACCTTTTTCCCCATTGACTAAGAATAGACTTGATTTGCACTAGCTTTGGTTGATAATTTATTTCACACATTTTATCTAGGTCAACATCAAAATTTATACCTAATAAAGTAAATCTAGTAGTTCCCCAATTAAGTTGATAATTTGGGATTAAAACCTCATCACTGTATTTTTTGGATCCAATCCACACAGTGTGTGTTTTTGAGAAGTTAATGCATAATCCAGACATATCTGAGAATGTGTTCAAAGTTTTCAGTGTTTCTAAAAGAGACTCCTCACTTCCATCAAGAATAAGGGAAGTATCATCTGCCAGTTGAGAGATCTTTTTTTCTACATTTCTAATAGTAATACCTTTTATTTTTTTATTTTTCCTAATTTGTATGGCTAGAATCTCTGCACAGATCAAAAAAATATATGGAGACAAAGGGTCTCCTTGTCTGCATCCCCTCTGAATATCAATTACATCAGAAAAATTACCACCTTGATTAACAGTAG